GGAGGTAACACAACACAGATTTGATTGACCGATATGATCTTTTCTTAGAAGCGTGTCATCACCACTTGTTGTTCAACCTCATCATGTGTCCCATGATCTACTAATGCAAGCAGCAGCAGCAGCACAGCGGACAATCTTGATATAATTGTGCATGACAGACTTCGATGGCTCACCAGGCTGGCTTTCGGAGAGTATGTTCAGGGTGTCCGCCGCGCCTCATGATTCAAAGTCTTCTGCTTCCTCTTCACGTGGTGGGAGTCAGGCTCGTTGTATTTGCATCCAAGCATACAGCTTCCGAACCAACCCCCAATCAACTGGCCAAGCTCTTGCAGACCTTGTAGGAATGACCCACGGCGAGGGTCGGGAGTCGGACCGACATGCAGGATGCGGGTGTACATTCAGTTGGGATCGGTCGGCCGGGCAGTCAAGAGCTGTTCATGCGGTGAGGGACTTCGAAGAGGGTGAGTTCGTGTCGTTCTCTCGACGGAGATTGTGATAGAGTTGGCTGTGGCCGATACCGATACCGTCTAGCTGCTCTGAGACGAGGTTAAGAGACCTCGGGACTGCTCGAACGTCGCATCGCACACCATGTCGAAAGACGTGGACGATAGCTGTTATGCAGTCTTGCGCCTTGCGTGTCTTATCTGGACAGTTCGTAGCCAAATCTTTTGAGGCGCGCGTCATGGCAACGACGAAGAAGGACGACAGACTCCCGCGGAAGGCAAAGAAATCGGCCATCGGCATAAAACGACCCCGGACCACCGACCCCGATCACCCACCAACCTTTGCCACTCTCTAGTCTTCTTCAAAAAGAAACTATCCTTTGACTCACCAAATCCTTCCTCCCTATAACGAATTGATTCGCATCCAATCGGACACCCTCATTCCTCGCCCGAAACAAGTTTCTTCGCCACTAGCTTGCAGGCGAAGCCCTAATTGCCACCACACTACTTCTCGCTGGCCTACGTAGACCTCCATCGACCTATCAGAGGGCGAGCTGCCTACTTGTTAACATGGACGCGTGGTCTTTCTATTGCCTGTTTGGGCAGAGAGTGCTTTGCAATACGTTCCATCTAGTTCGTTTACGTTCGATTTCGCTCGGCCGAAGTGGACTGCCAGTGTCTGACGAGGCCTTGTTGGTTGCCTAGATTGACGAATACGTTTGAGGTAGGGACTCGGTTGTGTATAAAGCTGTGTGTTTCCTGACTACTTCTCCTTCCTTCTCGCTACATCATGTCGTTCTACAACATGCCTTCTCTACGATACTACAACGCCAGCGCTCCCTTTTGGGACTTTGTCGCCAACATGGAGGCGGAACACAACAACAACAACAACAACAACACTCGTTCTCAACAAGCCAACGAGAACGACAACGAGAACGACGACCGTCCTAATCCATGGACCGCTGAAGGTTGGGCAGGCTTCCCATGGGGACCTTTCCCTCATCGTGGTCGTGGAAGACATGAACCTCATCATCCTCCACCACACCATGAAGGTCCACCGCCTCCCCCACCTCCACCGGCGGAGGGAGATTCCTCTGATACAGAGGGTGGTCCTTCGGACCCAAGAGGTCCACCACCACCACCACCCTTCGGCGAAAACCCCGACGAGGGCCACGAGCATCGTCGCGGCCCCCACGCTCATGGCTGCGGCCCTTGCCACCGCGGTGGCTTCGGCGGTCGCGGCGGTCATGGTCGCGGCAGAGGCGGAGGACCAAGAGGAGGACCAGGGCGCGGCCGAGACCATCACTTCCACCCCTACGCCATGCCAGGTCCTTTCGGCGCTTTGGCCGAGATGTTCCAAAACCAGCTCTTTGGCGAGGAGACGACCACTAGCAAAGACAAACACGAAGACTTCAAACCAGAAGCAGATGTCTTCGACACCCCGGAAGCATTCGTGGTCCACGTCTCGCTGCCCGGTGCCAAGAAGGAAGATGTCGGCGTCAATTGGGACGCTGAGAAGAGCGAGATTAGCATTGCCGGGGTCGTTTATCGCCCTGGCGACGAGGAATTTTTGAAGACGCTTGCGCTAAATGAGCGCAAAGTGGGTGCCTTCGAGCGGAAGGTGCGCCTGGGCAGCAGAGCCAATCCGGCACAGGTTGATGTCGACGCCATCACCGCTCGCATGGAGGATGGAGTCCTTACTGTCGAGGTGCCCAAGTTGGATTCCGGATACGTCGAGATCAAGAAGGTGGACATTGAGTAGATGGCCGCTGAGAAGAGCTGAGGAGGAACGGAGACGAGGGAATGAAGAGGGAGGATAAGAAGAAAGGCGTTGGAAGGAGGGAAAGACAGAACAACGGCAAGAAAAAACATTGATTTTCCAACAAGACAAGAACTCGGTACAAGAACCAACCATTTCCACGAAATTTCTGTGTACATACCTGATTTCGAGATACCCCAATTGCTCTACTTCTATTTGCTTGATTCGTGTCGGTGAAGAGGTCGGTAACGTTTCGATATTGGTAACTTTTGCTTCGCCGTTTGTATCGTGCCAGCCTTGGGGTTGACGACGGCATCAGTAAATCTCCGGTTCCACGGGTATTTGAATGACATAAAGCTGAATCATGTCAAGCATATCTTCCCGTATGTGCGTATGCTTTTGCTCCGCTGAATGTCTCGGTTCGTCCAGCCATGCGATATGTCTCAGTTCGGGACATTGCTCCGAGTAAGCCGACTGTGACCACCTGGTCGTGCGGCGATAAACATCCACAGCCGGCGGAGTGAGAGAGTCAGCGGAAATAATTACTTCCTGTCCGAGGGAAGAATAAATCGGATGTGCGAAAGTAGAGTGTTGTTGTGCGTGTAATGGTTGGGCGGTCGAGTATGTTGCAAGGATGTTCCCACGAAGTTGATGAGCTGGAACTGGCTCGTGCACTGACTGTCTGGGCAGTCCGGGACGCAGTAAACAACAGACTTTCGACAATCCAGCCACAACCAAAAGATCTCGACTTCTACCACCTCTAATCACGACTTCGCGATCCTAACGGCAGACCCGTCAACACGTATCCATCCGGCACCACACAGAAGCGACGGAAGCCCGCTGAATCTCCAGCTCGCAGCTCACTCGCATAGCAACGGAGCCTCGACCCCGTACACCGCGCTCCGAGCATCACAACACCACCACCACCACCACCACCACCACCGCACGGCGACGGCGACGGCGACTGCAAGAGCGATGTTTGCTAGGCTGGAGCTGCATCGCATCCATTCTCAGCCATTCATCACAAGCGTATAAGTTCCATAACAGCGCATTCACTCGGACAAACATACTTCCTATCATAGGCAGAGCGCGGCAGAGTCTCGGAAGAGGTCAGTAGAAGCTCTCTCCCCAACACACGGAATGCGACCCAGTCCCAGCTACTATACAGAGGCGCATTGCTAGTCGGCATGCGACCTCATCCCCTCCCACTCACATTTCAATGTTCGACCTTACTGCGCCTGGCGCCCAAAATGCCGTCGATTCCATATCTGACTTGTTATCCGCCTCGCCGGATTCACAGGTGCCAATGCCCTCACCCAACGATGCACGAAAGGCGACTCCCAAGAAGACGCCGGAGAAGAAGACCGACTTTGGTCCGCAGTTAGCGAGGAAGAGATCCCAGGACTTCGCGGCTAAGATCCAGGGCTGGAATCAGGCTGGAGGCGGCATTGTGCAACAACAAGATGAAGTGGTTGTGATTGCGGAACCGGAGTCGGCAGTTGGCAAGGTCAACAAGGAAGCGCAGAATGAAATCTTGGTGGAGACGGAGACCATCGTCCCGGCTGCGGAGGTGGTCGTGGAAGAGATCTTAGGAGTTACATCTTCGAGACAAAAAAGGCCGCGATCACCGACAAAAGCTACACCAAAGACTTCTGGAGCTCCCAAGTCGAAGCAGGAGGTCGATCTGAGTCGAGGCGCATGGGTCCGGCGGAAGAGCAAGCCGCAGGTCGAGTCCCCCGAAGTGAAACATGCGGGAACGCCTAAGAAGCGAGTTGTCAGCGACGGCCACTGGCGACGAGACCGACCTCCAAAAGAGGAGACGCCGGTCAAAGAAGATAAGGAGAAGGACACGACACCAAAGCCGATGACGGTCCGGAGGAGTGTTGCGAACGTTGGCTTGAAGGTTCCGGTATCACACCAAGACTTTTCGGACTCGGATCCTGAGCCACATCGAGCACGGCCTTTTAGAAAGTCGCGATCGAGGTCTGGGTCGCCAGATGGGCGAGGAGCTACTCCAGACTTTGAGTCCAGTGGAACGAGAGTGTACATCAAGCGTCGTATTAGGTCAAAACCTCAGGACGACGATGTCAAAGAGAATAGGGATCCACGAAAGTCCGAGAGTAGCTTTACCGCACCATCCTCAATCGACAAGCCGAGCACGGCGACAGACATCACGGAGCCGGATCCAGTCCCCCCGAAACAGACTCCCAAACGACCAGTGTCAGCACCGCGAGAGAGGCTTGAGAAGAGCGAACCGAGGGAGAGCATGCCTCGTCCAAAGACCGCCAGACCGTCACCAGAAGATCGCATAAAGTCCAGGAATCTTGAAGACCAGCGACTGAAGCCCTCCAAATCGGCAGAGGCATATGCTAAGAAGATCACGGAGCCAATCAAGAAGCCTGCGGGCTTGCCAGCATCGCCGGTGGCACCAAAGGTCTACGGCAACCGTATCGAAGGATGGCTTGCCAACATGCCAGACGACCCATTCACAGAATCTCGATCGTCATTGACACCTGAGCCACTCGATATCCCGAAAAGGAAGTCGAGACGACGTATGGACACTGAGCAAGACGCAGAAGATAGTGGAGAGCGTCGCAAGAGTAGCGGCGGCAGACGAAGCTCGCGTCAAGATCATGAGCAACGGGATTCGAACGAGAAAGATCAGCGCCATGCAGATGAGGACCGCTTTGCTTCGTACCCTGGCACACCCACGGGACTGAAGCGAATGGGCGCCCGGCGAAAGTCAATGTCTCCAGTGAAGAGAGAAAGAGGAGAGAGTCGTGAGACTACGCCCACTGCGAATGACCCGATCATGAGTGGTGCGCTACCAATTCCGTCAAAAGAGAGCTCTCGAAATTCTTCCGCAAACACGCAGACTGGGAAGGTCCGAATACCAAGTGGCAGCAGAACACTGTCGACCATCATGTCCATCGACACTCTTCAGCCTCCACACTCGGATCCGCGCAAGCGACACGCTGCTCCGATGTATGACGATATGAGTACTATTCACGAAGGAAGCGTACTATCAAGAGCTAGTGACGGTGACAGCCCGGTCAGAAGAGCCTCTGGTGTGAAACGGAGAGGCACCAAGAAACACGCAGATCTCATTTCGGTACTTTCAAGAGACGATGCCCACACCATCGTATCATCGAGAAGCATGCGTGCCAGTCGACGACGCCCTGAGGCGGCCACGGTTGGCGACATTATGAATGAGTTGTCGGCTGACGAACTCAAGTATCAACGAGAGCTGCGATCTTTGGTGGATGGTGTTATTCCTGTACTGTTACAGCATGCACTCGCAGAGCCAGAGAAGGCATCTGGATCCAGAGTCTTAAGCAAGCCGGCACGTGATACAAAGCCAATCGTGGACATGGGTATTGCTTTGGAAAGGCTGAAGACTACGCACCGACGTATTCCCATGCACGAGCCTAGCGATCTCTTGGTTTGGGCGGATAGTGCCTCGAAGGTCTACGCTGACTATCTCAAAGTATGGCGCCTCGGTTTTAAGCACATCGTGGTCAACCTCGCGCCAGCTGAGCAAACACCAAACCAGAACGGATCACCCGCTTGGGACGACGGTCTGCCACGTAACAAGGATGGAGATTTAGTTGACGGCTCAGGGGAGCGTGTCGACGTTGCATATCTGCTGAAGCGACCCCTGGTCCGTCTCAAGTATTTGGCAAAGACGTTCAAGGGTATCAATCAGCTGCAGCCATCTGCTAATTCAGAGGACATGACCGCAAGGTATCAGGACCTGATTCTGGAAGCGAAGAAACGTGTGAACGATGAGCAGGCAAGGCTGGAGGACGAGGCTGCTGCCAGCATCGATGCTACAAGATCACGAGATCCACGAAGTCTTGCACCAGTCACTGGAGTCACAATTGATCCAACGAGATCCGTTCGTGCTCGGGACTACTTCGACATGGACCTTACACATTCTAGCGGGCAACAGCTTGGCTGCAAGATCGAGATCATCTACAGAGACGATGCACCTGATCGCGGCAAAGCAGGAGACATTCTAGTCTGCGAGATGGCGACAACTGGGCGCTGGCTCCTGTACCCGCCTCTTCCGATCAGCTTGGTCTCAGCTCGCGAAGGCGACAGACCCGGAGAGCTTGTGGTCATGATTCGAGGATTCCTGTCCAACGCAAGACAGTGGCGGGAGATCATGTCCCTACAGGCTGACGACGAAGCCACCAGCGCGGACTGGCTGCAAATGCTTGGTTCATCACCTCTGCCTCCCCGCCTCTCGAGGAAATCGAGTTTCAACATGCTCAAAGAAACGCGTGTTCCTGCATCGGGGTCAGAGGAGCCGAAATCTGGGTCAGGTGACATGCCTGACAAGAGCAGGGATCCCTCTCCCCGTGAGGTCGAAGTCCCTCTCGGAGAAAGAGCCAAGGCAAGCTCCCGCATTTGGGATGGCAGCGAAGTTAACAGTGTGTCTAACGATGATGCATCTGCGCCTCCGCACCGGACCAAGGCCAAGAGATACCGCAACACGCTCTCCTCACCGCCCCACCCCGATGAAATTCGTAACGCTGGCAGGGATAGCGCTACACAGCCAGCGTATTTTTACGAACAACCACATCGAGAGGTACATTCGGAACGGGCAGCAAGGCGACCAGTGTCCGGCTACGCAAGGTCGCAATCGGATTGGACAACATCTTCAATCACCGATACTATGAGCACACAGAGTTACAGCGTTTGGCTACCTTCCGAAGATACACGTACAAGGCTGTCGGACGAATCAAGTGGGGATGAAGATGACAGAACCGCACGTCGGCCAAGCACTAAACGGCCTGGTATGCACAGAAGGACATCTTCAGTACCTTCTCTGGATATGCCGTCCATACCGAAGGTTCGGAAGAGCAGCCAAGCTGAGCCGAAGCGTCCGGAAAGTCCTTCATCGGACAGAGACCTTCTCCCATCCCAGAGAAAGCCTGCAGAGGATAGAGTTGCAGAGCCGTCGTCTGCTCCGGCGAAGATGCAGAAGCGTCGACTTTCAATGTTCAAGTCCAGCAAAGACCCACAGCCAGAGCCACTTGCAACTCCAGAAAGGGCACCACAGCCACCACCACACACACAACCTAAGCCGCGGCCAATGTCTCTTGGTCTTAAATCGGGACTCATACCGTCTCTGACTCCGGCCTTCCTGAAGAAGGACCGACGACCATCCTCGCCACTCAAGCACGAGTATGAACCGTCTTCGGCTTCAGACTCCTTGAGTGACAGCGATTACTCCGACGATGTCGAGGGAATCGAATCTGATACTTCTGAATCCACGGTCGAGGAAGTTGACGTTGTTGAGGATGGCGTATCAACAGTCGGCACTCTAAACGGATTCCAGAAGTACAACAGGAGGGATTTTCGCAAGTCTCCTCCACCAGTCTCAGAGCCAGCAATCCATGGGGAGACCCTGACGCCGTCTGAGTCGGCCTCACAATCCCCGTATCGTAGTGTGCCGCCCACTGCTACGGAGCCGGCGAAGACCGTAGCCGATATCTTCTCATGGTCTGAGCGCGGCTCGTGGGACCCTCTTCACCCTCAAGAGTGCCAAATCTTCGTCACACCTGGGCTTATTGAAGCTTTCGATTTGGCCCAAGCCAATGCTGTGTCTTTGACAAACGAAGACGGCGAACGTTGTACCCCGTCTTCGAAAGGAGTCAAGCCGCTTGTGGCATTGGAGCTCACTCCATTAGTGCCTCTGCGACGTGGTACGGCTGTCGACATCTCCGTTCGATCCCCGCCAACGGCAGGCTCACTGATTCGAACCGGGAACAATGTCATGTTCCGGTCACGAAGTCCAGAAGAATGTGAGAAGTTGTACGCACTCATCAACAGAGCTCGCATCGACAACCCAACCTACATTGCTCTCCAGAACGCCAGAGGTCCATCTCAAGGAGGTGGCTGGGCAGAGGCGATGGATCGCAGGAACGCCGCTCGCACAGTGAGCTCGGGCACTTCAAGATCTTGGTTCAACTTGGGCTCTCGCAAGAGTGGCTCTTACCGCTCCAAGGGAAGCAGAACCGCATCCATTGCAGCGACAGAATCATCAGTCGGCACCATGAGCTCTGCATTCTCAGCTCTACGTCGGTTCAGCGGAGGCAGTCGCATCTTCAACATCGCCAAGAGTACCATTACCTCTAAAGAGGGCACGCGCAGCACCAACAGTGAATCTCTGTCTTCGGGCGTGGCAACTCCCGTTCCATTTGATCCAAGCCTAGGAACGCCACTCGGCATCACGAACGCGAAGATTCGGCTCTATGTCCGCGACTCGCCTTCTAAATGGCGAGACATGGGCGCCGCTCGTCTGACTGTCATGCTCCCGCCTCGTCAAGATCCTCTTGTCGCTGCGAATCCAAAGAGTACCAGCATCGAGAAGCGCATTCTGGTGTACGGAAAGAGTAAGGGCGAAACTCTCCTGGACGTTACGCTTGGGGAGAGTGCTTTTGAACGTGTGGCTAGGACTGGTATTGCTGTTAGTGTGTATGAAGAGACGGATCAGGTTGCTGCTACGGGGGGTGTGCTTGTTGCGAAGACCACGACTTATTTGGTCCAGATGAAATCGGTAAGTTTTTGTCTATCCGTCCCCTGCTAATGACGTGGTTGTTTGTTGTACTGATCTGTGATTCAGGAACGCGACGCTGCGTATACTTTTGGCTTGGTGGGCAAGCTGAGGTACTAATGCCGCACTCTTTTCCTTTTGATCTTATGTCGGCTTGTACAGAGACTGGGGGTACATGATGACGACGACGACTCTTTCTATTAGCGACAGGGGATCTGGGTCTGGTTCTAGCGTTGGCGCTTGGCGTTTTTATTGTTTTCGTTCCTTGCTGGGCTATAGAAGGCTGGGCGGGATAGTGGGATGGTCGTATACTCTCTTACGGAATATTTTATATACCCCATTAATCCGACGACTTGAGAAGAACTGCTTCGCGGCCTCTTTCGCCTGGTGCGAGTGGTTGTGTTGTGTTTTGTTACAGCAAGGACCGTGGTGAAATGCAATGCAATGCAGTGAAGTACATCCTCGGCGGATACGATGCAGGCGGTGATGGCTTTTGCAGATCAGCTATCATGGACACAGGCCTTCTATACCAGCGTCATCTTCTGCCAGACGCAGGGAGCCAGATCCGTTTTCTTCTCGTCCAGCCTGGAAGACGGAGCGGGCATGACATCTGCCGTCTAGAGGCGTGACCGCGAAGCTCTGTCCCCACGTACAGCGCAGTCGACTTCTTACACTTGGTTGGGGAGACGCGAGCTCACAGCGGGAACTGAGCGTAGATGAGCAGACTCTGCTGGGTTCGGGAGAGCTGCTATCATGCTCTACGACAGGCTCGTCTGCATCTACAGAGTCGATATGTCTGGGTCGACTCGATTCGCATCAATCAGGGTGATGTTGAAGAGAAGAGTGCCCCAGTTGCCATGATGGCGACGTGACCTAGTTCGTCCATGTCCAGGTATCGACCGGAAAGCCGGCCCTAATAAGGTCCCGGGACCTGAGCGCTTACGGGAATATTGAGGATGACAGGAGGTTCGCGAGGTGTTGGAAATTATGTTCTGCTTATGCAAATTGGCTGGTAAAGATGTGATCCACCTTGATCTCTTCAGGTCCGGTAAGCAGATCGTTGTCTTTCAGCCACTGTAGCCAGACGCTCCACTTGCCGGCGTCCATATGTCCAGGTGGGTGGTCATCCGTATAAAAGTGATTGATGCTAGCCTGGCTCTTCTGGAGAAAGTCGTCTGAGCGCTGCGGAATCGTCTCCCCTCTGAGTACATCCACAGCTTCACGAGGGTATTTAATTGCACGCGTATAGCCTTCTCTCGTAGCCGTGACAAAAGCCTCAAGTACCTCATCCGATGGACTCCTGTCTGCGTTTCGGGCAATGACGGGAGAATAGCCGTACGGAATGCCAGAGTCGGCCAGTCTGAAAGCTTTCATCGAAACCCCTTCCATCTCGGCTTCTACTCCCTCCCACGGCATGAAGACCCAGGTTGCGTCAATCTTGCCCTCCTTGACGGCATCAAACATGCGCAGCTTCCCCTGCGAGCGCTCGATTTCCATCTTCGCGCCGTCTCCACCGTCCTTCTGCACCATCGCTTGGACGATCGCGTCCTCGTATCTCGCGTTGTAGGAGCCATACTTCTTCCCTTCCCCTCTCCCCAGCTCTTTCATGCTGTGGAGTGCCGTCCCGACTATGGCCGAAGCATCCTTCTGGAGAATGGCGTAGATGGCCTGCAATTTCATCTTGCCGCCTTCATTGTACGCGATGCAGGATTCGGAGGGGCAGATGCAGAGGTCTACCTCGCCGGCTTCTACCCTCTTGGCGGGCGTCTTGGTGTATTGGGCATCCGGGGGGAGGAGTTCGACGTGGAGGTTGTGTTTCTCGTAGAGGCCTTTGGCTTTGGCAAGGTAGAGGCCGCTGTGGATGGTGTTGGGAGTCCAGTCTAAGGCGATACGGAGAGTGGTGGGAGCCATGCTTTTCCAATCAATCGATTTCGACCTAAAAGAAGTCTGAACTGAAAAGACCTATGAAAGTCCTTACCGGGAAACAACAAGGAGTCGCGATAATACGATTTAGAGTTCGCTCAAAGCCCCTCGTCCATGACGTACCGTATCGAAATGCTCCTTCATCGACTGGCTCTCAAGATTGAGTGCCCTTAACAGCATGAATTTGCTGGATCAATCGGGAATCATGGTAGATAATGCACACAAGGTGAGGTGAGGTGAGGTGAGGTGAGGTTGCCTTGGGATTTACCGGAATAATCCCGAACAAACCGTCTTTTACGGCTCCAAGGTGACACTCCCGCCTGCACTCTACATGTGCTTCTAGAACACTCTGGAAGCAGGGCAAAGCACCCGTGACTGGGAGCTGGAAAACAGGCAGAGATTTAATGAGTCGCCGTCGCTAGAGGAAGACGATCGACCGCCAAGACCGGCTCGGGGGAGAAGAATTAATCTACAGTAGCGTCGGCGAGCTCCGTAATAAGAAAAAAAAAAGAAGAAAGACGCTAAAATCATCGGGCAGGTGGGCATACGGCATTACGCGTGTCGAGCTGTCGCTGGAGACTGCAAGACCTCCAGGTCACTGTCTGCTCCTCTGGGATCGAAGACGAGATCAAGATACAAGCTTTGCAAACCCATTCTTTGCTCTATCTCTCATCCAATGCATCATCAAAGAGCAACCGGCCGCCAAAGCGCCCTCTATAATGGAAGACTGGAGATTTGTCCCCGAGCGGGAGAAGGACCGAGCTGAGCATGCCGCTCACTGGAATAAGACCACGGCCTCAGATGGAAAGGTAGTCGAGGTTATACTATGTTCTGTCGGGCCAGGTGTAGCATCATGTCACGATACAGCTCGCTACTGGACGTATACCAGTATCGGGAACTTGCTCGACCACTCGGCTGTTGGATTTCCTACAGGACCGTTCGTAGATCCTACGCTGGACAATAGAGTTGAGAGTTGTTGTCCTGTAGATAAGCAGGATGAGTATGACCAGGGTGTCTAGGTTGCAGAGAAGTTTGCTGGCGCTCCGATTAGTTTGCAGCTGGTCGCAAGGAGAGCAACAGATGAGTTCGTTATGGCTGCATTCAAAGAGATTGAATTGCCTTGAGAAGATCATAGAGACTTCTACGAGGTAGCTCACGGTTCTGCAACGTTTATAATTGCTATTTGCTAATACCATCTGGACAAGACTTGTTTCGGTCACGAACAATCAGCTTTTCCATTGTCTCTACCCTTCGCGACTAAGCACAGGCAATACTTAAAGCGCCTGAGATTCCACAGGTACCGTCCAAGCTAGCTGTTCTCCCACGTGGACTCAGGATCCAAGACCCTCGAGCAACAAATGACGAACCTTACCTTGAGTCGCAAATACGCAGACATGACAATCACCTGCGAAGGACATGTCTTCCAAGTGTCCCGCAGTATCGTCTGCCCGCAATCCGACGTTCTCGAACGCGAAATCGACGGAGAGTATGAGGAAGGCAAAGGCGACATCAAACACGACGAATATGACGCCCAGGCTGTGAATCGCATGATCCATTTCCTCTACGATGGTGATTACGATCAGGCATCAACGGCTGCAACGACTTGCGAGGAGGAATTCAATGAAAATATCGATGACGGCGAACAGACGATATCATCATTATCATCATCAGTCACGGACGGCCGCCTTCTTGCGCACATCAACGTCCATGGCATTGCAGGGTACTACAATATCCCGAAGCTCCGAAGACTCGCGGCCGAAAAGTTTCAAGCCGCGCTGAAGGAGCTGGACTGGTCTACGATTGACAATGCCAAGATCGTCGGAGCCATCTATCGACAGGCTAAAGCGGAAGACGCCGGGCTCCGCGATGCGATAGTCGAGAAAGCCATGCCTCATATCGACTTCTTCGAGGATGACGAGTTCCCCGGCGAGTTTCTAGTCCGTGTTCTCCATCTTCTCTCCAATGCGCACAAAGCAGATCAAGCAAACATGAACAAGGTCATGGAGGAGTTGCGTTCGGAGGTTGACTCCAATCGTGCAGGGCGGGAGATGCTTCAGCGATCACAAGACAATATCATCCGCGTAGAACGCCTTTGCCGTGATACGTACAACTGCAGACACTGTTCGGAAGCTCTCAATGTACTTGTGGAAGGCTCTGGAGATGGCAAATCTTTCATTCGCTGCAAAAGTTGCAGGACTAAACATGGCCCATGATAGCATTTGTATATATAGAGGCCGTCACTGGGTGGTGACAGAAAAAATAGACGAGCGAGAAGCAATGAAAATGCGAAGCTTTCGAATAGCATTGAGATGGTTGTCATCCTGTCTCTAACTTTGCTATTGTTTTGAGTACACCCACAATCAAACGCCACAGAGCTCAAAGATTTTTTACCTAAGCAGTAGTGCCGTTCGTAGTAGCGTTGCTACCGCTAGGAGCACCACCCATCGCCTCAGCATCGGAGTTGGCATATCCGCCATCAGCAGTAATGTAACCAGCAATGCTGTAGTAGGAGTTCGAAGTCCAGTCAGCGGAGGTGTTCAGACCAATCTGCTTCCAGGCAAAGAGACCATCAGAGATAGAGTCACCGAGGTAGAGGAACTCTGGGAATGGGTCGTATTCGGAGGAGGCTTGGAGAATGCTCCACTGGTCGTCGGCGTTGGAGACGATGGATTGAGTGTTGGTGTCGTATGGGGAAACCGCCTCAACGGCGCTACGGAGGACCTCGTTCCAGAAGAGCTGGCCGATCTGAGTGACGGAGCCAGAGCCCACCAGCAGGGTGCCGTTGGAAAGGACAGTGACGTTTTGGTGGGCGAGTAGGTGGGTGTGGGTGGCACGCCCGTCGTAGTGGCCAGGGAAGATGGTGTCAAAAGTAGCAACACCCTCCTCATCAGTAGGCTGGATACCACGGAGGTAGGTTGAGTTGTAGCCGCCGGCGGCATAGTTGCCAGAGACAGAGATTCCGGAGTAGACACCAGTGGCGTTGGCATTCCAAATGTCGACGTACACGTTCGGGACTGGCTCGCAAGTCTCAATGTCGTAGTACTGGACTTCCAGGTGGAGCGGGACACCGTCGGAGAACTGCTCCTCGACAACATCCTCGCGGATCATCTCACCCCAGATGTAGTATGGCCCATCGGTGACCGTCGGTGCAAAGATTGGGCTTGTGATGGCGCCAAAAACCTCTTCCGCTGAAGTGTCGGCATCGTAGCTGTAGACGCCGGTACGGTTGTGGTCGATGGCCTCCCACTTGGCCAGGTCGGTTGCGTTGCGGCGCTCAAGCTCGGTGGCGCGCTTGACTTTCTTGGATGTCGAGGTGATGCCACGCTTCTCACGGAGCTCACGAGCAATGCGAGCACGTCGCTCGATGTTCCTGCGAGCGAAACGCTTTGCGGATTCGGTGCTGGAACAAGCATCGAGAGATCGCTTGCCGACGTGGGCCCAATGTTCTCTGGCAACAATGTCACGCTTGACCCTATGAATGAACCATCGTTAGCAGACTGAACAAGACAATACCCGTGGAAATATTCTTACTTGGCGGCATCATGCTTCTCGCCTGGATGAGCGGTGACGGGAGCGACGACTGCTGCTGCAAGAGCAGCGATCTTGGCGAAATTAACCATCTTGGAAAGAAGTCTCAAAGGAGGTAATGGGTGGTGCTGTAGATTTGCAGATGCTGTTGTTTGGAATTACCATGATTGCTGGGAGAGACAGTCCTATATATCCTGAATCTCTGTCCACGCTGCCACCGTTCATCGTTGACGACGCACCTGGGCAGTGGAGCAACAGTCTGGACCTGTCTGGTCGTGTCCATTGAGCACAGTCGACGACAGCCGATACCGAAGACTTTCGAATGGAAGAGGCGAAGTCTGTGTGGTGTCGTCGGCTAATGTGGGCAGTAGGAGACGAAGATGTTTTCGAGCCTGGCGTGCATCATCACATTGCCGCTGATTGGGGCATTTACGCTGCTTAGCCATCACTGCCGTCGCTTGTCTGGTTAGTAAGGCCGCGTGTTATCCGCTTGGCGGTGGACGCGTCTGCCGCGGCTGCATCGCCTCTCTGCGCTGTAGGGCTGTTCATCCGCGACGGGTTTATTCGCCTGACTCGTGTACACCGTGATATAAACAGTGTATGCAGAAGTGTACGCAATACTATCGACTACCAATTCGGCAACAATTGGAGCTGTTCGGCCAGATCTCGGGGATATCTCGCAGGATACAGTCCGGATTCTAGACGACATTTCGCATTGACACGGCGACTGACGGCGCAACACAAGACTGGCGCCCCTCTGCGTCGTGTACACAGTGATTTCCGCACCGTGTATGCGTATTGCTGGAGTGGGGCAGACATCTCTACCGCGCTGGGACTGGGCGCGGTGAACGCCGCGCCAGACCTTGTCTGTTGCTGTTCGGGAATCCTCAAGCCAGAATGTTGGGATTCCTTCTAGATCTTCGCGGCAAACAGCGTAGTGAAGACCAGGCCGTAATGCGGCCGCGCCCTGTGGTGGATTCCGCTGTCGACCGAGTTGTCCAGTTTCGCGTGGTCCTGCGAGTTTTCCTCGATGAGCTGTTGAAGCGCTTCATGGAAGCTCTCGGCGCCTCTCAGGATTCTCTCCATGTCTTTGCTCTCAGTACCGCAGTGCTACATCTTCACTTGTCCGAGGACCAGGACCCCGACAACTTGTCGTCGCGATAGACTGTATGTGGGTCGCCAAGTCTCCAATAATGTCTTCTGGAAGCGATCACCCCACTCTTTGCCACTGGTCGTATGGGTCCAGCAACACGCGGCTTCACCTGTGAGGCGCCATGAAACGTGCTAATGGGACGAATTCTCGGTCGCCTATTTGCATCTTGCTGTGGGTAACCTGCCCCCGATGTGGTCGGCAGTCTTGGGCGGTGGCTTGCGTGGCGATATGAGCGTTCGGCTCGCTTACCGTGCTCCGCGATGGCGTGGCACCTCCGTCAGGCTGCAGAAGCGGCAAAACACGCAGCGGGTGGCACCGTCGCTGCAGAATATGCGCGCCTCCAGTGTTGGGCAAAGTAGTAAAATAGTAAGACTATTAGTAAAAGTAAATAGTAAATAGTAATTACTACTTACTCTTACTCTTACTGTTATTCTTATCGTTCGGAAAATCTTATTCTTACTATTTACTCTTACTACTTATTAAGTCTATAACTTAATAATCTCACAATATATAAGGATCACTTGTATAAGGCTCAATCGGTATTAGGCTCGTTAGT